ATTTGTATTTTCTTGGATCGTATCTTTGGTGCCTAATCTTTCCTACTACCATTAATACTGTTAATACCTCTACTACTCTATGAATTGCCTTAATAATTTCATATCGCTGTGCTAATGATGTATGACAATTTAAACCAATGTATATATGTACCAGGTTCTACGTTGTGTTTGACTGACTGCGAAAGGAAGTAAGTGGATTAGAATTTGCACTTCGGACATGTTGATCGAGCACAAATTGTAAAACCAGTAACCCACTACCCAACTGATTTATAAAAATATAGAGACGGGTGACATCTTATGACTATCGCCATTTATTAAACTTCTTACTAGTATGTCGTATTTTACACAAAACCATATTTCCTATTAGGAAGGAACTGATACTTAGTTGAATGTGCATAAACTTTTTTTCTCACCTCTAAAACTATTTTCTGTAGTTTTAATTAAGCTCTTAACATTCATGCGTGCAAATAACTTGCAGCAAAAGGTACTGCTGATTACGTGTTATCAGTAATAATGTAAACTTCGTGAATGTTGACAGTGTTTAAATGTACCGGATAATTAGATTTATGGTTTATATCATCATACAAGAAGTATATTTCAGTAAAGAATTTGATACTGTTAAACATCTACATTCCAAATGATATGTAACGATGAAGATCGTCAATATTTCTCGAAAATTGATATAAGGCATAGGTATCATTTTCGATTCAGCTATATTTAGTTTCGGGACAGTAAAAAAATCATTAGCCATTCTGTAAATACACTTTAGCTAGTTTTACGTAGCCTTTGTAGACACGAGGAATGCCAGCAAATCAGTAGCTCTGAAATGTAAGTTCTGATCTATTTAAAAGCTAGCGGTTTGTGTTCATGAGATGAATAGTGCGTCCAATTTGAGTCCTGTTTCTCACATTTTCTGAGTTACCAACCTATAAACAAGTGGTTTATTATAGTATATTAAGGCAGCTTTGCTGTCAGTTCGTTCCCTTTTAAAAGGGTTGGTAATGAGAATGAAAGAAAAACTTGAATAAATGCATCAGTCCATAACTTTGAGCTAGATTAGCTAGCTTATTGTAAACATCGTACAGATACTACTCAACAGAACTAAACATAACTATTTACCCCAATTGACTCAAATAATTATTAGCTTTTGTTGTAATTGATTGTCATAACGTTCTTGTTAAACTTATTTTTTTAATCTTACTATAGATCCAAGGCATGCAGAAGTACAGTCCTTGATGCATGTTAATTTACCATTTGATTAATTGCATTTGTGAATACGGTTTTTATCTATCAACTTCATTGTTTCAAAATCAAAAATCCTCATAACTTCTATACATTCGATTATTTTCCAGTAGAAATTAATTATTTTTAACTTAGTTGTTTGCTTTGTATTATAAGTGGTATTCATCGTTGGCTAACGGTAAAGACTTCATTCTAGTTACAAATCGTAAGCAGAGTTTTTATTATACAAACATACACCTTTCAAATAGCTATCTTTCACATTTAATTTTCCTAACAGATAATTTTACTAAATCGACCTATTTCCTTGCATAAATAATGTCTATTTATTAGTCGGTGTTTCTTTTTTTGAGGGGGGGGCGAACGTTTGTGCTTATGGTTAAATATTTCCCTTTTGGCTTATTATTTACAATAATTGGTTTGCAGAAATGACTTGTCTTTTATTTGTTCTCTATGGTATGTTTGCCATATGAAGTGAATAAGTTATTGCATCACGAGATTTCATTAAAGTTTTCTTCGCAAGCCTATAAACAGTTCGGTAGCAAATATATAGCAATTTTATATGATTGTAATAGTGGGAGCATGTCCTTCCACCCTTAATGTTAAGAATACATATTGATAGGTCTTTTGTCGCTTGGATTTGTTATTTGGTAAGATTCAGACAATACCTCGTTTTCGTGAATCGTAATGTACACCATTTTTAACATGACATGTATGTCGTATGCTTCAACATACGTGGATACCATGATATTTAAATCCAATAGACTTGGATAGGCTTAGATGTTTGACTTAAAGAGACCTATATCTACACAATAAGACCCCTATAAATATTGAAAATACAAATCATTTATCTGCAAAGATCGAATATTTCAGAGCGTATATAGTGAACGAGCATAGTTCATCTTGTTAACGTAACTAAGGCGGTAAGGTAAATTTATCCGGCTTACTTGAAGTTCAACATTTAAATACTCGAAATCCTACTCATTCTCCTCCCCATCCTCGCTCTATTTCTTTGCAGTCTTATTTTCCTTTCGTGTACATCTATTTTGATACTCATTTGTGCGTCCAGATTAGTGAGGTAACTCTATGACAATATTCAAACTAATCCGGTTTAAGTAACCGGGTAGTATAATTAGACCTTACAATTAGTGTGGCTCGCACTCAAGTGGTTGATGATTGGGCTGACTGTTACTGTATTATAACAACAATCAATGTGAACTATTGACCTACCTATCCGTATCCAAAATAGAAGCTCGTTAACAGATAACTTATGAGAAGTAATATCAACTGTATAGACTCTCATTCAGTATTTCTCGGTAAATTCTAATCTTGAAGAACCTGTTCTCATTTAGCCACTTGGCAATACAAGGTTTATGCTTATTCCGAGCTACACTTTAGTGCAAAAAGAGTTCTAGATTAAAGGCACACACTATGCCAACCTATGTGGGTAAGACAAATTTATTCCAGTGGTTTGGAAGTTTATTTATTTAAACATGTAAACATCAATATAAGAAGGCACCCAACATATATGCGCCACACAAATCGCTTGGTTTGTGTGAGAGCTGGAATACTGTCCAGGTGCACAAACCGAAGCAGGTGATCTGGTAGAGTTAATAGAAATAGCATATAGTCAGTCGACTACGACGTATGACCAGGCATCGGTCCCACCTGCCATACCTCATCAGCACAACATGATGAACACCAAATTCATAGAAGTACTTACTTCAATCGTAGTAATATATAAAAGAAAGATTGTTTATAAGGATATAGCACAGGAAGGCAGAATTAGTCGGTAGAAAGTAATTTTAATCTCACAGTTTAAGGGGAGACAAAGAGTGTATACACCTACGCTATTGTGACCGATGCTGAGTCATGTCACCCAGTATCCAACTATTGGTTACGATAGTCATGCGGACCCCAACCAAGTAGTCTGCATCTACCAACATGGCTTAGACTAGAAGTTAGTGACTTCACGGACTGATGCCATGCCCTAGTCTGGTTGCCCCTAACTTTCTTCCAACCATCTCCAACACCAGTCAGCATTAAGCTTCGTGGTAATTGGTATACGTAACACGTGGCCCAACCATCTCAGTCGATGAAGATTTACAACCTCAACAACTGATTTGCCGTCATTCCCTAACACCTTGTGCCTAACCCCACTATCACGTGATTAATATTAACTTGATAACTACTCATACAAAAGCGTATTGTACTGTACAATCGCCTAACAGATGCTGGATCCATTGTGTGGCGCATATATATCTGGTGCCCCCTTGCACCAATATTTATGTGTTTAAATAAATAAATAAACTAGTAAGTGCTTTTGTACAATCCTTCAAATCAGTTATTAAATTGAATGATTTTGTAAGTGATCAGTGTTTGATCCGAAACGACTGATTCTTCTGTAAACTCCTTTGTCGGATAGCGCAGTAGACTAGAAGGGCGAAAGCCGTCAAACTAAGAAAGTCAGTCACTGTTGGACTGAAACTCATAGTAAAATATAAGCTTTCTAAACAAAGCTCGCTGAAGCAACGATGTGGTTTCTACTACACTTGATATTATTCTCTATTTAGTTTGCATCTCATTAATTTTTCTTTGAACCCTGATATGAGCTGTTGGGACTTAAAACGATGAATATTTGTGCCAGGTTTCACTGTCAACAAACGAATGCCTCGTGGTGCCGGAAGCTTGGAAATCGATAGTACTCACAACAAGAAACCAATAAAACAAAAGTCCAGCGGAATGTCAGTTGTGACTGAACTATTTTCCCTCACTCAGTCGAACGCAGCCTAGAACCCGGAACACATACATCGACTGAAGTTGGCGGACCATATAATAGAGGCCTGTAGTAATAAGACTAAGGACATATATTTGGACGTGAAAGTTTGATGACATTTCATATCGAGTCTTACACAACTCTTACAATCCACTAGTCGAATAAATTTCAACTGAGAAGGATATTACGAAATTATCAAGCACAATAAATCAGGTCGGACATTTTTAAACATGTTTTTAACCATTCTTGAATGTATAGCCACATGGTTAGCAAATGAGCTGGCTAACTTTTAAATAAGATTTATAACAACTGTTAGTTCACCAAGCACCTACAAACAGGCAATTATTCTAGAAAGAATAGCATGAAAAATAGCAATTACGCACATGAGTGAAACGCTAGAATAAAAGAGTATTCAATGCATCTCGTTTAAGAGAGTAGCCAATACACAAGCATGCGCTACAAGGTGTTTGACTTAACAGTCACGTTTCTACTTGTTTCCATAATCATAAATGTGCAGGTTTTTCTAACACACTAAGCAACAATTGTGACCCGACGAGGTACGGTGATAAAGCAGTTTTATCAAAGCTGGCAAGAAGACCCTAATTTGCGAAGTTTCTGAGTCAATCAAGCCTTGCCAAGACATAGAAAAATTACTAAGGAAGTATGGCTACGCATGGGGTAAGGCTAGTCGGTTGTAACCTTTAGCTATAATGCATGAAGTAACTACTGCGTATCCTGTCTCATTTCAATTTGACGTCTGAAGGGACGAAGTTGAGCATCATTTAGAATGTCATAGATAGAAATTTACTACCTTGACGAAGAGAAAACAAATTAAAAGCTTTAGCTGACGAACCTGTGTCGGCCAATAACAATCGTTGTATAATTCGTACCGAGAAATGTGTTATTTGAATTTCCAGCTTAATAAGCATCCAGACATATTCGAAAACAGTCCCAAACACAACTACACACTAGCGTCATGAAGATCTGTAATTTAGTGACTGAATGAGCATTGTTGAACTAACACATGATATACCAAACTATTAAGTAACGATATGCACTACCAAAGTTTTGGTTGGTGATTCGAGGGTGGACGCAATCGACATTGGTTTTACATTAGATGACGAATGAGAAGCAGACAATAAGAAGACAAGCAGAATTATGTGAATGTATGAATATTTTGATACATATACAGATTCAGTTACTCAATAACATAGCGGAGTCATCAAAACCGTCCGGTAGTTCTTCCAGTGCCACGAACAGTTGCAACACGTCCACGAACAAAAGTGCCACGCCCGCGAACTTAATGGTGAATTACTTTCGAACTTCAGAAACTTACCACCAGCCCTTAACATTGCATTCTTCCCTCTTCCCGTGCCTAATCCTTTGGCACCCTGTGGACGTTTCAACATAGGGGAGTTTTTCAGCATATCAGGAAGGATGAGGAAACTGAAAAGACAATAAGTTTTTACGAAGTCATACCGAATTTTACTGCCTCGAATATATACCTGTTGAAGGTTTGATGTACGACCGTCACGGGAAGTCATTATTAGGTCGCACATGTGAACATTCATATTATCTTCCGCTTCAACAAGTTTTCCACGAAAAACTTCGCCACTAACAGTTTCTAGAGTAACGACATGCCCCTCGGCATCATGCAAAACTTTGATAGGGATGCCAACTGACATTGCTTCCACGAAGTTTCAGAACCCGCGCTAATTACAACCTCGATGTAGATACAAATTTCATTGGATTTATTTAGATTGTTTATGAGACAGGATAATCTTTTATTTGACAGCCTGCAACTCTAAGAGTGTTGGATTATTGTTGCTGTTACTTAGATATCAGGAGCTAACCTTTATAGTCATGGTACTGTTCACGATGAAGTGAAATACGTTGCCATTAGCTGGCTGGTTTAGCTTAGGAGAATTTTATGTAAGAACATCTTATTCATCTCTGAGGATGTTATTACTTCAAACACACTGTCTATCTGCATATATGTCCCTCACCAAGGGTTCAGAATCGATTAAAGACTGGTCAAATGGCGATAAAAATTGCAGTGTATTGACCAAACTAATGACAAAAATGGTGTCAAGCTTTGGGATTTTATTCAGCAACCTAATTTTTCAATATCCATCATCTAAATGGACTTGGAGTCTGTCATCACGACTTTCATAGTCCTTTAAACAACTGATCATTATTTAAACTTGAATCTTACGCATATAGACAAGTAATAGTTATAGTGATGAAAACGTGGTTGACCCCGTTTATAGAAGATCCAACAGACTCTCAATTCCTATGTAAGAAAGTACCTTGGTAAGTAGAAGCAAATTACCTTGCAGTGGTAAATAAATCCCCAAAATAAATAGTTCTGTGAGTCTTCAGAGTTGATGCTGACCTTATTAGTTTTACTGGGCATATATGGCTGAATGCACTCGGTCACACACCTGCACCAGCTTAGACTAAACGCTTCCCCAAACATCGACAGTCTTCCAAATACATCGTCAAACCACTTCATTTATGACTTCTGATTTAATTGGGTTGTCATACTACAATCATAAAGGTATTGTGTGCGAAGGCGTTGTTAAACTTCGAATGCCCGTGGCATCTCTTACCTAAAGTAAATATACAAACAGTTCAGCCAGGAATGTATGCTTTGATTGCGGGACAAACTAAATAGGTGATTGATACTGAAAACCTTGAGGACATAATAATGGTTTCGAAAATCAAGTAAGTCGTTAGATACCCTGAATTACCAACAGTTTTAGTCTTCATTTATTGTTATTGAGATTTTCATAAAGGCCAAATGAATTAAATCAGCTCATATGTAGAATGAATCGATGCTAACAGCGGATAATTAAAGCAAAAAAACGACTCCTTATTGATGGCGATAAAAATGAGTACTTGATTTCATGTCACCAGAGTGTAGAGTAGCTTTGTGTGTAGTCCCTTCGATAAAAACTCCAGTAAAGTTAAATATCCTTATCTAATTGCAGCATATAATAACATGCTGGCATATATTCTACTCCTAATCGGCGCTAGATACTACTTATATCTGTTGACATAAGTACCATACACCACCTCTCTATAGGTCTAAATATGTCGAACTTCTGGAAGTGAGTATTCATCAGCTCTCGCTTTTGGTGCATTGGTGCATGTGATTCATAAAAACTATGAGTTCCCTGCCCTCCACTATGTCACAAACACCCACTGGTTAGGTAGATTGCAAGAACTTCTCGTCCGAAGGTAGAATACCTCGCCTCTTCTGGAGCGAGTCGTTTTGAGGAAGCAATCGATTTCCAGACGTTACAGACAGTTTCTCAAAGGTACCGCCTACTGATTTATCAGAAGCATCCACCACCAAAACAATTGAGGAAATGAAGTTCGGATGCATCAACTGAGATGCTTGAGGAAGTTTATCCTCTAGCTGTTTAATAGCTTCAACTCTTTTGGTTTTCCTCTAAGGGAATCTGTGAAAGATTGCACTAATTGTACACAACTGGATATGAACCCGAGATAAAAGTTAGACTTAGAAAACTTCTAAGTTGTGTTGGAAAACTAGGTACGGGGTATTATCTGATGGTGTCCACTTCTTTGATCGATGAAACCCCTTCCGGGCCTATTGTGTGCCTGAGAAATTCTAGAGTTCGGGCACCAATAACACACTCATTTTGATGTATTTTCATTTCATTCCCATCCAGCCGTTTGGACACTGCTCTCACGTACTTTTCGCGTGATTGTAAGACGGGACTGCCAATTAACAAATCGTCTATATACTCCTGTGCAAATGGTTATCCATGAATCTTTGAAATGTTTGTGCCACATTCCTTAGGCCGAATAGCATGCGTACAAACCCAAACAATCCAAAAAGTGTTGTAGTAGCTGTCTTATGGATATCTACATCAGCTGAGGGATATTGTGTTTTGCCCTGGTCAACTCAATTTAAGTAAATATATTCATGCCCTGCAAACCGTTCGTAAAGTCTTGGACATGGGGTATCGGGTACCTAACTCTCACGGTTTGACAGTTGATGGATCTATAATCCTCGCACCTTCGCCAATGGCCTTCATTTCGCATTGAACCATATGCAAAGGGGATGTCCATTGACTATCAGAGGGATGGATATAACCGAGCTGTTGGATGTAGTTGGATCCAAATCTAGCGATTTTAAGCTTAACTTGTGCTAGTCTCCTAGGTCTTGCAAACAGAGATGCACTTTCGGTTTCGGGTGTATGACTTACTTTTAGTTTGTTTTTAGAAAGCTGTGGATTCGGTTCAGTTAAGTTTGGAAGTTTCATGAATATATCCTGGAAATTTTCTGTTTTTACTGAGGGAGCTTGTATCAAATTTAGAGATATAATGTGACTTTCTTTGCCTTTTGTGTAATTTAAAGTTTCTTCCAGTGTTAAGTGTCGTTTTTAGTGTCAACCAGAAATTCGTATCTCTCTAGAGAGTCCATCCCCAGTATTGCCAAATCTAAACCGGATACAGTGAAAACCCAGGAAAATTGCCTTCTGTACTCCAAATCTGTCGTTAATATTTTCCAACCAAACGTCGCAATTTTAGTTTTGTTCTCAGCTTGAAATGTAACTGGGGATGTTTCTCGACCCTGTTCAGTTTTGTTCTGAGGAATGATACTAAGAGCAGCGTCAGTGTCCACCAAGAACATAGAAAAACTAGTGACTGCTTAGGTGCCCTTCCTCAGACGTCGCGAGCTCGGGGGTGCACTCGTTTCCCATATTCATGGGATTTTGTTTAGGCCAGGAACATGGTCACCTGCATTTGTTTGAGTTGACACCAAACTTCCAGTGATATCAACTGAACTGCCTACATCGTCTGATTATGTGTGGCCTGTTTCGTGACTTGTATCTTGGTCGTTGTAGTGACCTGCCCCTGTTTCTATGACTCCTTTGCATTCTGAAGATGTACTCAGTGAGACTTTTAACACTAGCAATGAGTTCTACTGTGACTGGGTATTTGATGGTTTTTTATGTTGTGTGTGATTGATTGTGCGTGATACAGTTGGGAGAACTTTTTCAATTGTCCTAGCTGCCATACGCGCTAAATGATATAAAAGATTGTCAGCGTCTTGTGCATCAGTGTTGTACGTAGCTTGGGAGAGCCTGTATAAATCCTTGGTTTATGACTGCTTCACTCACTGGTGACGTAAAAACTGTGATGGCGACCTATCAACTAGTGTTTCTCCTTAGAAAAGCACTTGGATTCTTCGACCATCTGATAGTGATAGACGGTTCATTATCTCTCGGCTTAAGATGGTTTATGGTAGTAGTAGTTGTGGAGGACTTGAAATGAAGTCACTGAGTTCTTCGGCCACTGAAGAAGGGCGGAGAGAATATAAGTCTCTTTGGCGAATCCTTACAGATTTGATGCTGTATCCCATGAAATAATGCTCCAGTTGAACAGACCAAAACTCAGGATCACTACGACCAAATTCTGGGGCTCAGACTTTCGCAGTAACAATAGTGTCTATCGCCACTGGTGACAAATCCTCCAGGTTTTAGGTTTGTATTGAATATGAAGTAAGGTACATGACCAATATTCAGGTATAATAAGAACGGGATAAAATAATTACTACAACACGGACACATTAAAATAAAAAACGGTGTGCAAATATATATATCAAACTTTGGTTGTGGATAATCAGGAGGTCTGCCTTCATGACTAAGTAAAAAAATAATAGTATCAATTTAGTGAAATTAATTTTGTGTTCAATACAGAGCTCCCCAGTCTCGTGACTGGAGGTAACCCTCGTTCCGTTGATAAAGGAAACCAAACTAGTAGTGAATAGGTTTTTATTTAGGTCATGGGACAGTTACGGTGTAGCGGGAGGTCACCTTTTCGAACACATAAAGCTTTTCAATATTTTATGCCCGACCCATTGAGGCCTCACTTAGTGTATTGTATCCAGGCAACCAGTCCCTGTCTTATTAAGCATTCTATCACGCTTGAGGGTAGAAACTAAGTTATTGACAAGTCTTCCCGAATTTCTTTACGATGAGCCCTCAAATTGTTTAAACCTTATAATTTCGTACAATGGGAAACGCTCTTATATGGGCATTCTGTATCTAAAATAGGGATTTGTGTGATGAAGTCTTATCTTGTTGCTCCCTACTGGACTGGCTACCTCCGAAGCCACTGCAAGAAGTTCCGGAAACCGTGGTCAAATACGCTCATTGTGGGACTCCATTTAACCTATTGAGTGGTGAGTGACTGCGAGCCATGACCCGAATAAGTATTAACGGCCCTATTTGTTAACACTCCCGGGGAGAAGCTGAATACTCACAGGAAAACTAGCCTTAAAAAATGACACAAAATGACCCACTATCCTTGTTGCTGAAGACGTATTTCGGTAATGTAAACTACTTCATGAGGTGTAGGCATTTCTTGTCATATGTAAGAAGGAAATCTAATGGTTTCTAAATCGTCATTTTAGTAAAATTCTAGAAATCACGCTTCAATATGTAGCAAAGCTTTCTCTGTACTATCAACTCGACTTACATAACTTTGTCTCTTTCTGAGGGTAGAAAAACTGCTTCTTAATAACTAGACCATAAAAAATGGCTACTCGATTTGTCAATTTAAGACAACCATTAAATATTTGGGCATGAGCTCTGTAAAGTTAGGAAAATATTTGAATCACTCGTGCCATGGACTCTCAGAACGTGATCTAGGCAGTTGATAAACGTGTCAAACACATTGAATGCCAATATTTTTCCAAGATAAAAAAAATTGGGAGAAGTTACGATTTTTCTTTATTCCTGTAGCTACTGGCTTGATAAGTTCATTCCCTTAGAGCAGTTTCCACCAGTTCCCATGAAAATAAAGCATGTGTAGAATTCCATTTAACCAGCATCAGGAAAAGGTGATGAAGGATTCA